ATCTAAGTTTTCGTTCTAAAAAATACAAAAGGTAGTATTCTACAAAATGTCTTTAATCTTTTTTCAAGAAGTCTTAATGATACATGTGAATGTTTCCTACCCAGAGTTCTGTTAAGGGTAATATACATAGCTTCTTTCATTTCACTCTTACAAGTTATCCTCAAAATTACCCATTACATATTTTGGGCACATCTTATACGAGAGATTTCGAGAAGCAAGTTGGCATTCTTGAGGTGATACTCATGTTTAGTAATGAGCATGTCTTCCCAATCTCTTCTCAGGGTTTTTAAGACATTAGGCGGTGTGTGTAACTGTCTAAACCTATTGTTAGTAGATATTGTCTTTTTTGGACTTTCTCCTTTGAGCTTCCCCTCGAAACTTTAAAACATGTCTGCTAGTAAAAGGTTTCCAACTCATATCCATCTTTACATGATCAAAGTACATTTTTAAACATTTTTCCATACCATTTATCAACGGCTTCACCCTCCCTCTTCTTCTTCTCTTCCACGTTTTGATGAATATGATCCCAATTTTGTTCTTTCATCCTCTTCTAACACCATTTTCTTCTCTCTCTCAATCAACATGATATGGAACTAAGAACATGGCGATCATGAAGAAGAACTCAAGATATTGGTGAGGATTGTTAGATCGTCTCATATTGGCTCATTTATAAAATGATTATGAGTTTATGAGCAAAAAATATTATCTCCATGGTTACGAGGCTTTTTGAGGAAGCCAAAAGCAAAGCCACGAGAGCTTATGCTCAAAGTAGACATATTATACTATTGTAGAGAATTGTGATTCATAATATACTTGCAGTCAAGGGTTGTAATAGTGATATGAAACCTGGTTGGAGATTCCCACACGAACTATTGCTATTGCTATGCCCACAAATGGTATGATTATATACTCGAATTATTTAACTTTCCATAGAAATATTACCCTACAACATAAATAATTCACAACATTCCTTGTTTATTCATGATGATAATCGAGGTTCAAAATCTTTTAAGATCACATTGATTCATTCGATATGATAATATATATTATAGTGTTTCTTAATCACTTCATTGTTAGAGAATCACAAATCTCCACAATGATACGATATTGTCCACTTTGAGCATAAGCCCTCGTAACTCTGCTTTGGACTTCCCCAAAAGGCATCATACCAATGGAGATAATGTTCCTTGCTTATAAACACATGATTTTCCTCTTAATTAGCCATATGGAACTAATTAACAACTAATGCATAGCTGTTCTCTTTGATTGATATAGGACGCATGAAAGTTAGTCAAATATCGAGTTCCATGGAAAGAACACATTACTAAAGACTGAATTACAATAGTCATGAAGCCCCGACATGTGTGGAGTTGTATAAGATACTTGGGAAACGATATTCATTAGAATGGAGCAAAAGCGATGAACTAATAGTTTTTTAGAGGCTATGTGAATTTGGAGGGCAACATAAGAACGCTAATTACTACACATCCAAATGTTCATCTCTCACGAATCAATTGTGTTACATGATATTGTTTTCTAAGAAAACAATATCTAGAAAAGGAAAAGGATTTGGATTGTCAGGGTCTCAAAGTAGTGGAATTATCAGAGCGGCCTGACATTGCAAACAATGGCTTTCTTCCTTACAACAAGGAGGCTGAATTTGGCGCACACAGTTGCCCATGATAAAGAAGGCCATCATTTGAGGACATACAGAAATCACCCTACTAGTCTTATTTTAGTTCCGTGGTGGCTTCTTCCGCTATCGTTCTTATTTTAGTTTGTTTTGTTCTTACGCATGTTTCTTAAGAGCTCATCATAAGCAAGGATCATGTAACTTTATAATTTCTTTCTTTATTGGTATAAGTAACGGCTATCAATTCTTTTAAGCATTTTTTATCATCCCATCTTGTGGATTCTCTCGTTCGAATGTGATATCAGTTCATTCATGTACCTGTTGGATGAAAGTGTCCCACACCGGTTAATTTAGGGAATGGTCATGGGTTTATAAACAAATAATACTTTCTCCATTGGTGTGAGACCTTTTGGGGAAGCCCAAAGCAAAGCCATGAGAGCTTGTGCTCAAAGTGGACAAATATCATATCATTGCGGAGAGTCGTGTTCATACCCTTCTTTATTCAAGTGTCACATGCCTACTGGCTTCTGTTTTGATTCGTCCCTGAACCACATCTTATTGGGAGAGGTACCACTCTAATACCTAGTGTTCGTACATTTCCTACAACATGGTCATATTACTTTCGACTTTTAAGAGTGAAGATTCGACATTTTCATACGTTCCCTACAACATGGTCATATTACTTTTGACTTTTAAGAGTGAAGACCATCTCCATAAACTAACATAGAGCCTTTGAGCATGCTTTGTTCTCACTTATATGCTTCCTATAAAAATTCCTAGAAGGTTATCCAATATTGGATGGAAGGAAAGCATATTTAACTTTGAAATTTCTATGAATGAGCCTTTCCTTTTGAAGAAACCTAAGAGAGAAAATAAATCGGAAGATCGAGTTCTATTGGTGCCTCAAAAAGGCAATGTTTCATAAACGTCATGATTTTGAGTATGAATATCTTTTTCCACTATTAATGGTATGATTTTTAATTTTTTTTTAATAAAAAAATTGGGTTCATGCTTAGGTTTGAACAAAAGTCTGAGGCGTGACTGACCAAAATATGCGTACATGGATAGCCGCACGTGGAACCGTGCGTAAAGTAACGGAAGATCTCTAATCTAACATAAGGACTATAGTTTAAACATAAATCAATTACCTTAGCTTCGATTTTATGGCCTCCACAAGGATATTAAATACAGGGAGGCCTTACTTTTATCCTAAAATAAGAGTAACAAGTGACTTGGGTATTTTAAAAAATCTCAATAGCCCCATTGTTGAGGTCGAAAAATGCATCCAGAAGTAATTATGGTGAACCTATCCTTTCATAAAAAAACATTATGATGAACCTATCCTTTCATAAAAAAACATCATGCATGACCTTGGGCTTTAAATTCGAGTCGGAGAAAAATTGGATGTGTAGTACTTCTCCACACACGATCCAGACACACACACATGGGTCCACTAGGCAGGCTCAAATAAACCACGATGGGAAAGAGTCTATATAATATCATTGCAAACATAGATATCATAAGATATACGTAAGTATCAAACACATCAAAGAAATATCTTGATGCACTTGTCATACAAAATGCATGAGGTCCCACAACATTAAAACATAACATATATTCGTACCTTTAATTCAAAATCTTCAACAAAGTCTGTCGCTCAATCTCCTTCTCTTTAAGGTGCTTTGTTGGGTCACTAAAATCGAACAAAAAGTGGCATAGATGACAAACAAATTCTACTTTTCAGAGATGAGAACTTACCTAAACCATCTCGAACAAGGTTTGTAGTTGCAAACGTGAAACAAAATTTGTTAACTTGCCCGCTATCAGATCATTACTTCTCAAGCAGTGGAAAGTGCCACATATTCTTTATAGAAATATACCGAAATAAATAAATGAAGTAGAAAGAACAATTTGAGGGAGTGATTCTTTGAATTGAAAAATTTTAAGCATTTATATTTTTCTTATGCCTTGGTGGCCTTCCTCTATGCCTCCTTGGTTGAGACATCGACTTGTAGGTTGCACTTTGCTGCTTGAAGTAGCCTATAACTTCTTCCTGACTCTGTTCTTCGATTCATTTTTCTTCCAACCCATTGGTTTCTTCTTCCCTTTCTTGCTGTCAATGCCAATAGATAATTTTGGAAGATGTTGATGGTCTTCAGATGGTTTTGCAATCATTTTAACTTCATCGACAAGGCTCCATTTATGACGAATATCTTGAGGAACGAGTCGACTAATTCCATCATTCTTCTACCTTCTGTCATTTGACCAAGACTAATAATATTTCTCTTCAAACTTGGGATGTAATATATCTTGGTCAATAAACATTGATAGTCGTTCTTACACTAGAACAAAATGGATCCCTTGACTTGAATCAATATAATTTATCTGTCACAAAACTTTACGTTACCAATAAATTTCTCATCAAACTCTTTGAATTTTGCCTGAACTCCTTGGCTTTCATGAACTTTATCTGATCTCTTTGAACTTACTTTCTCTCAATGATGTTGTGACACTCAATTAACACGCGTCACCTCCATATTAGTTTCTCCAATCAATTTTTAGAATGCTTCGAGATTTCTAGTTTCTTCTTAATTTCTTCTTATTTTTTTTTTTATCTTTTTTGCGTAATTTTAATCGATTGGTTCATTCACCAAATTTGTAGAGTTTTAATCCAACTTTCCATCAAAATTATTTTCATTCCACTTCGTTAACGGTGGAAAGAAATAAACACTTCCAAAATAGGCTCGAAACTAAAAAACTCATCAGTCTTGAAGCTCATCCGAACTCCACCTTTTGATCCTATTCAATTTTGGCTTCCTTCATAAAACTTGTGCAAAATTCTCTCATTAACAACACATTAAAATTTCATAATCTAATTTCGTAAATCTTTTGAATCAGGAGAAAAACCTAGAACAAAAACTCAAAACCCTTACCTTTCTTTTGTAAATAAAATAAAATTACTATTAAAAAATTAAATAACTAATTACTAGGTTTTAAAACCAAGAAGATTATCCATAACAATCTATATAAGTGTAGGTCATTTAAAGTGATCAATGTCATACCAAAATTAACTCTACCAAGAGAACATCCTCCCGTTATGACCTCGTCTTCAACCATTTTCGGTCATTTGATTTTAAATGCCTCCGTGACATACACAACTTTATATCAAAGTTTAAACCCTACAAACCATTGATTTAAATAAACAAACACGATTACAAGTTTATTGAAGGAAATGCAAAAATGTGTTTAACTTCAGTTTTGTACAATCGGATGTATAAGATAGAAATTACTTGTTTCGAATTTCTATCGGGTAGTCATTTTAAATTTACATCCCATGATTATTACGAAGTTTCGGAACACATTGGTTTCAAGGGAAAAATGCATTATTTGGCCAACCATCCTCCCCAAAAGTAGGAAGCTGAATGACATCATCCCCAATATTGAATCTCATTTGATCATCACATTCTTGATTCACCATCTCTATAAACCATGACGGCTCCACCGTCGCCACACACGGTGGTTGGTTCTCTTCCACAGCCACCGCCGACCTAAGAAGCTCAATCCTTTTGCAAATATCCGCCATCTTCTGATCAACCAGCCACCCAAGATCATTCAAATCAATGACATTCAAACTAGGCCGTGGAGCCCCTCCGGCGACAAGGCTCTGAAACATGACATGGGCGATCTCCTTCTCGCGATTCTCCCTCTGCAACTTCTTGAGCTGGTCGGCAGCCTTGGCAATGCGGTGGCGGAGGAAGGTCTCTTGGTTCACCATCTTCTTGCACTGCTCCATCTCGGGCAGGGCCTTGAAGTGGGAGATTACCCTCTGGACGCCCACAAGGGATGGCCATAGATCAGGGTAGGAATTGAAGGGGCTGAAGATAATGGCGCAGGCGTCGATCCCACAGAGGGTAGTGAGCTCAGTGAGCTTCTTTAAGAACCCCTTTTTCCTCTTCTTGAATGTGGCTTTTCTGGCTGCGTCGTTTGTGATGAATGTCAGTTTCACCTTCTTTCTCGTCATTGTTGTACCTTAGAGATCAGTTTAAGAGAATGGAACTTTATATTATATTATAAATAATTAATTTAGGATATACACAAAAATGATATCTCGGTGAGGGAGTATTTTATAGTAAGCTTATTAAAATAATTTATTGGTCTGCATTTGACAGCCTTAGTTGTTTTATTTATTATTATTATTATTTTTTTAATTTCCCACAATAATTATGGATAATAAAATTTTGGCAATGACACAAGACATACAATTTTTGGAGTTTAATTTATATTTACATTATGCTTCATATAAAGTATAATAATTTGACGCAAATAAATACCCAAAAAAAAAAAAACTTAATTCTATTTTTAAAATATCTTAAATATTTCAATGGTTTGTATTATATTTATATGAATGTTAAACTACAATTTTTGGAGTTTAATTTATATTTACATTATGCTCCATCTAGTAACCACAGTTATTCCATGTGTGAAATTTTGAAATATTTCACCTTTCTCTATATTCTAAACTTAACTTCTTGGAAAGATTAAGAAAGCTATATTAAAATCAGATTGAAAGTCGAAATTCTCGCCAACCTCGAGAAACAGTAAAAAGTTAGTTTTGGAGACTAAATCATTAACAAGATAAGATGAAAATAACTTGATTAGAAAACTAGATTAAAACTCTACAAATTTGGTGAAGAAACCAAGTTGATTTTAGTTAAGCCGAAAAAGATATAAAAATCCAAAGAAAATAGAAAACATTGAGAAATTGGGATGAAATTGAACGGTAGGCGAAGAAGAAGGGACATGTGTCCGGTGAAAAGTGGAGTTGTGTGGCTAGTGTAACGCTCCTAATTTTCTAAACCTAATTAGTGACGTCACCCATGCATACATAACTCATTGTACAGAAGCTCATCCTAAATAACTTTGGAAAACACAACACAGTCTTTTATAAAGGTCCATAAATCCAAAACAAACCTATCTGTGAAAATGAAACCTTCATTTACGTAATCTAGAAGACTCTAAATAAAACAAAGGTTCATTGCTTTAACTTAAAAACAGTCAATTAAACGTAAACTACTAAAAATGTCCCTTGTCCACTTCCATGGTGTCCTCAGCTCCACCGTCAACCGTAGGTAGCACCTTGCCTTGCCTTTACCTGAAAAATGTAGGTAGCACGTGACTTGAGTATTTTAAAATACTCAATAAATCACCCCACTATTGGGGTTAGAAATGTAAACACATACAACATATGAGCGAGATCTAACTTTTCGTAAATTTTACATGGCCTTGGGCGCTTTTTTTATTCCGAGTAGGGTTGGATGTGTGGTACTCCTTCACACACGGCCCATGTGCGTGCACATGGACCCACCAGGCGAGCTCGTATACATACCCCTGGGCTTGGCTTGGTCGGGCACAGCGTAATACACGTCGTCGGACATCACAGAACAGAAAAGGACCCCCATGATATCATGGTGGACATAAATATTGTATTTCATTCTTTCGTAACTTAAAGGGGAAGTATCCCGATGCAAGTGACATACCTATATGTATGAGGTCCCTTAACATACTTAACACGGCATTACATAAGTATTGCTAACATCACATATACGTTTCTTACATTACATGGTGTATCACAAAACTTACCTTACATAGCATGTTACATAACGTGAAAATACATTCCAGTTCCATAAGTATCTCATGACATGACTCGATAATACTACGTGTATCCATAATATTGATCAACATTTTCATGACATATAATACTAGCAGATCAACCATCTTTTCATAGCATAAATAGTCAACAGTCAACATCATCCATAACTTTTCATAGCGTAAACAGTCAACAATCAACATAATCTAAAACTTTTCATAGCGTAAACAGTCACATAATCCATACATCATATAGTCATATCACATAAAATATGGTGCATGTAGGGGTCACAAGGCACGCACCATCATACAACACATAGTAAGCTAACTCCAATAGTAAGGTCACTTACCTCGATGGCCTTGGCCGAAATCACTCACAACAAGCTAATTCTAACGGTTAATTACTTCCTATAATAACCACATAAAAATTTAGGAACCTTTCATATCATACCCTAGCTAAATCTCATGCTATTCATCAAAATAACCTCCCAACACAATCCGTCTTTGACGATTAGGAAGCATACTGACCTCAGATTGTAAAAACAAGGGTGGAAACAGTTCCAGAAAAGCCAAAAACCTAGAAATCGATATATTATAGCGATACTGAGCTGATTAGCCGAGCCAACCAACTAAGCCGTCAAGTCGAGCCTGCGGGAATTGACGGAGTTGAGCCCACGTACCCGCCAAGGACAAGCACGATGATCCCGACGTCTATATCTTACTTTTGCTTGAATCATTTTTTCCGAAATAGCAACCCCAATGTTCCGAGAGAAAAGTTTGGAGAGGAAGTCGTTTTCAAAGGATGTAAAAGGTTGGGTGTAGGAATATAAAAATAATCCCAAGACATTTTCCAACAAGGCATTATAGGGTTTTAGAGTAAGGAAACTTAGAGAAATAGAAATGTTTCTACTAGGCAATAAATGTCTAGCCGAAAATTCCGTGATTTGGGAGATTTCATGAGACCATTTAATTATTTATTTTATTTTCAGAAACTTGAATCGTTATAGCTAGCCTAGGGGATGACATGTGCCGACAGTTGAGAGGGATGCACATTCAACAAAGGAGAAACCACATGTCACATCGGTAGAGGAGGACCTATGGATTGCTTTGACCCGGCCCGTCTCGTCTGCCCATCCGACCCGCACTAGCCGACTCGAGTCAAATGCTGTGACCCACGAGTACACCTTGCTATGTGCATGAAATCTGCACATAATACCTAACTAGTCATGCTTGTAGGCACTTGAGGGTGAGCTTCTGCCTGATTTGCCTCCCGTTTGCCCGTGTTTCATCTTGATTTTGATACTAACCTTATTATGACTTGAATTAAGATTTTTTTTTTGAGAAAAATCTGAAAATTTGGAGCTTCTAACAAGCAACGTTGTAAGGCATGTGTCATACATGCAAGTAACCATTCGCACTTTCCTCAAGTAGTACTTGTAAGAATTGGTAGGACGTACTAGCATGCCTATTTTAATGTTTTTCTCTGTGGTATGAAGGGGTGTGTTATAAAAGAGGATGAAGATGAAAAGTTGTGATCTATACTCTAAGTTGTTGATGGATGTTATCTCTCTCCTGAGTTTGCATGAATGTTTAGATTATGTTTTGAACCGTGATATCTCCCTCAAAAAGCATGCATGAGTGAACTAAGCTAAAAATAGGGGCTAGAGTTAGAGCCATTTACACATTGACCTAATTAGTCATTTTTTCAATAGAGGTCTAGACCTAAGTGCACCTAGAGATTGAATTAACCTTGAAGAGCTAACTTTGAGCATCTTGGAAATGCGAGATGAGGACTAGATCGCATAAACACCCCTAAGAACCTACTAAACATTCATGATATTTGTGGATGATTAAGAAAGCTTAATAGGCTCAATAGCTAAGAAAACGGTATTGCCAAAAATTCGAGGCCACATGAGTTAATATTGAGTGTAGGATTAGGTCAAGGCTAACATTGAGATTTCGTAAATCGTTCATAAGAGAGACTTAGTGTAGTGGATGAAAAAAGGGGCGGTTCACCGTCGTTGAAAATCGCATTGTGTACCTCGCACACGACCCAGTCCTAATCAAATCAAATCACAACTTCTAAACAATAGTATCACAAACTAAATCTTTTAACATCATTTCTTAAACCGAAGGCTAGCGGCATTAGTTTATACTTTGACATGCCCCCAACATATCAAGCATCTTTAGAAAGACATTAAATTTGGTCATGATGTCTGCAACTTGATTTTGTATACGAATATGAAACATTCTCACAACTCCTCCATCTAGAGCTTTTGGTAGCTTCTGCATAATGAATTGGATCACTTTCTGCAAACCATGCCAGATATGTAATATTTTCGTCCTCAGAAAAACCTTTACTACTCTCATAATCATCCATCCATCTTGGTGGCCTCCTAACATCAGCACATGAGTGTCTTATGCTGACTCATATGAATCATCATTGTATACTTCATCCTCTAAACTTTCAACTTCATTGCAGGTATCATTACTCAATTCTAGATCAATTGTAACTTTTTTTTATGGGTTTTATGCCAATTCCAGCCATTTTCTTCCTCAAACATCACATCTCTACTAGCAATTAGGTTATGATAAGCGCCTACAATGCTGGAATTTGCAAAGCTAGAGGTCCTTCTAGAATCCTTGCAAAACGCTCACAGAGAAAGCTAACTTAACGGATTGATTCCAACTAAGAGCTGGTTAGAAGATGAATGACTCTTAGATCGAACTTGGAATCTATGATGGTCACTCTTAGATACCAAGACAATTCACTCCAGAATTAGCTTGATCAAAACTAATTCAATGAATCGATTTAAACATCAAACCTAAAGCAAGATTTGAAAAAGAATAACACCAAAAAGGTATCAAGAAAACACAAAGGTTTTTTCTGTATTCAACCAAAATCCCTCAAACATGAGTATTACATGCCTTTAAATAGGCCCAAAAGATAACCCTAACAAAATAAAGTTCAGCCACCCACCACTAATAAATGCTATTAAATGCAAATTGAAGAATATAAGGTAATTCATACAAACTATTAATAAATGCTATTAAATATAAATTGAAGCAAAGAAGGCATTAATAAATTGTCTTAATTGGTAGTTCAACTACCAAAGGCAAGTCTTCTAATTATTTTTCAATATCAGCCACTCCATTATCTTCTTGATTTGATATGCTAATGCTATAAAGATTTTTGGGCTCAAAAGTCTTTGTTTCAACGTGTACACTAGCTAGCTTTTGAAGATGCAATGTATAGGCCTCTTGAATCTTTTTAACCTTGCTTCTTGTAATTGGTCCTTCGGGTACATGCAAAGGGTCAGCAGTTGAATTCATATCAGGTTATGTGAGACTGGATCATAAAGTCGGTATGCCTTTGACTCCTCACTAACTTCAAGTAATACACACTTCAAACTTTTATCTTTTAAGTTTGGTTCTTTGGTTGTCTAGAACATGAATATACACAATACATTAAAAAAATTATGAAATGTAAAACTGATGGTTTATATCCGCTCCAAACTTCTTGCTTCACTGTCTTCTTCAACACTTCCCGTTACATCTTTACATTAAAGAGTGGTGGGGTGTTCTTGAAATCCTCATTCTTATCTCCCAATGCCAAAACAATCCCATTTGTCGCCTTAAGTCTTCCTCGTTCTTAAGTAGAGTTAAAAAATATTGTTTACATTATTTCTGTTTTTATCATCTTGAGTCTATAAAAATGTCAATAAATCCTTAAACTTTTAATTTGTAATAAATTCGAATAGTAACGTCTTATAATTTAATTTTTTTTATTTAATTCTTGTTTTTCTCTTTTTAGTCTAGATCCGAACTTTGAAGTCTCCAAATGAGTTGTGACACTCGATTTTGTTTGTTGAATTTTAAGTGGCTTGTTAGTTGAATCACGAACATCTTTCTAACCTAGTTTTGTTGACTTTTATGAGGTATGCTAATTGATTTCCAAACAAATTTTCATCATAACTCAAACAAAATATTAATTTCACCACTCACTACGTTGATTTTAAAGAATATTTTCAAGCAATAGATAAGTATCATATTAGAACTTCAAAAATTTTAAAGAATAAATATATCATACAAATTAAAAATAATTATAAAAAAAACTCAATTTTCATGACCCGATTTTCGAAGCTTCAAAACACTGTAAATGATGTGGGCTAACGCTAAGAAAATACGATAAAACTCTATGCAATCTAACATCAAACAACATTATATTTAAGAAACAATTAAAAATTTATAACAAACTAAATGTTCAAATTTATTACCAATGGGAATAAGGGAATGAGATACAAATCTAAAAGAACAAAAAACTTAAATATACATGACCAACGTCCAAGATGACCCTCTTCTATGTTCGTGTAGCTCCCAATTGCTCTCCCACCTTGACCAATAATCAGCAATCATTTAAGAAAAAGGTAAAATCTGATGAGTATAAACAAATTCAATAAGCAAGCTACTTGTACTTGTAGGATCTGATGGCATTTTTATGATAGCGAATGGGTAACACCCTCTAAAAATCGAATTCTCTATGATATATGAACCAATGGAGAAAAAGAAAATAATAAAAAGATGGTTTATAGGATAGAATATTGGTTTAAAATATTGATTTTTTTGGAATAGAGAGAAAATGAGTTTTTAATTTGCAACCACATATTCAAAGAGGTGATGACACACTGAGAGATTTTTCGAGATAACGATTGCCTCGAGTCTTCAAAAAATAATAAAATGATGATTTCGAGATAACAAGTGCAATAACAAAGACAGAGAACTTGCAAATTAAACCCAAAACTCAACTCACCCCAAGCCGTAGAAAAGGAAAAGGTCAAAGACTTATGGATTTATCATGGATGAGATTAAGATCTCCTAGTAATAAATAAATAAATAAATAAAAACATAGATAAACAGATAAATTACTAAAAACTTGTTGACATAGAGCAGTATCATCTTTGTTCATAGGTCACGTATTTTAATCTTCTTCCTCACGCTTCGTAACATTCTAATTAATACCCAAAATTCAAAATCAAACTAAATAAAATATCAAACACAACTAGAAGAGTCAATCCGTAGTAAAGTTAATACAATTGTTAAAGTACAAGGAATATAATTATAATAATTTTACTCATGCTAATGAAAATATTTAAAGAAGGAAATACAAAGAAAAGAAATCATTGTTATTTTAGGATACACATTGAGTACATGAGAAAATTTTTCCCGTTCAATACCACCTTCACCAACTTCAAGTGGGGGACATCCAAACACTCTCAATACACACACACAATCTAGTTAGATTTGACATGGCTTCTTTTGAGGGCAAGTTTTTCAAATGTCTGCATCAATACAATTTCAATTTCTCCATAGATGTAAAGTTTCCAAACCATTCTGGCAAAGATTTAATGCCATTAAAACAATCAATACGTAACGATCTTAAAGCAGTGAGGAGATTACGTTGTCGAGGAAGTTTTGCTAAACTATTAGTTCCTGTGTCATGCAACTCAAGAACTTCCAGCATATTGTACCAATTTTTTCAGGTTATACATACCACTGAGCCCTTCCGGGAAATTATGAAAGTTTTCCATTCTTAATGAAGACAAGTTTTGGATATTTTGTAGATTTGGAGGGGAAATATCATCACCAAAGTTGGCCATCCACACATCTTCGAGTGAGCCACAAAATTCTAACGAATTTGGTAGCTTTATCAAACTTCTACATTGTTTAATGTGTAGAAATCGAAGCTTTGGAGGACTTTGGAAGCTAGAAAATAATCTTGCATTAATAGTGTCGGCTTCCAACCTTTGACCATAAGTTGCAAAAGTGTTTGGAATATTCGTTAGCTTGAGACAAGAATGAATGTTTAAACTTTCGAGATGAGAAAAAGTTGTACAATTAGTCAGAGTATCAACTTCTTCCATTGCTCTAAACTCTCAATGTGCAAAATTTCAAACGTTTTCAATTTAGGAAATAAAGTTATGCTATTCCGATAATTCCCATAAAATTCGTCTCCAATACTTTTTACACCACTTAGCTCACGAATTTTAAGAACCTCAAGTTTAGACAACTGTCCAAACATTGGTAAAGTTTCACATCTTTTGCATCTGGATAGATGTATCTCAACCAAGTTTCCAACAAAAATACCATTGGGCATACGTAATCCTAAAAAGTCATGAATCCTCAATGCTTGAAGGTTTTTGTGTGGTTGAAGCCCTTCCAACACATTCAAATCATTCTCACCACAATCGTCTCTTTTCTAACGAGAGCTCCATTCAAAATATAGTTCAGAAATATTTTCCTTCTCGACTAAATTTGCAGCCATGGCCTCATGTTTACTTTTGACTCGCTCGAGATATAAAAGGTTTAACTTACCTTTAAGGCCTTTTAAAGGTCCAAGCTCCTCAATCTTACATCCGTCATCACACCCAGCTATAAAACCAGAAAGCGTTTGAAGTTGAGTCATTCGACTTAAATGTTTAGGCATTTGCTTAGGATTTATAACATACAAATCAAATTCTAAATGCCTTAGACCAACTTTCTCAACTTTGTAGGAAGCTCTACATCCCATCCAAGCTTCAAAGTTTGCAAATTGTAAAGCAAAACAATAGATTCTGGGATCTTAATTATGTCACACTCTGAAATGTCAAGATATCTCAAATGCTTCAATTTAACGATTGTATCTGGAAATTCATCTATGAATTCATAATCAATAATTAAAATGCGCAAGTAGATGAAGTTAGTGATCTTATCCTGATTAGCAAATGGTAAATTTTCACAACAATAAACTGTTCTTCTTCTTCGACAGATCGAAAGAACTTCATCACCGTGAGAATTTCCATCTGTTATAAGGCCCCCTCTCAAATTTTGATCATTTGAAATAGCACATGCAACCTCATATATATGATCATGCATCGTACAATATTTAATTTTTCCTCTTTCGTCCTTGACAACATCTTGAAACAAGGAGCGGGACAACAAAATATCGAAATACCTCTCTCCAATATCCTCCATCATTACATTGCTTCCATTGGGTAGTTGAATAAACCCTTGTGCTATCCACATCTGAACAAGTGTTTTCTTGTAGAAGCAATAGTCGGGTGGAAAATTGGAACAGTAGGCAAAACATTGTTTCAATGAGGAAGATGATAGACGGTCCACGCTTAATTTGATTGTGGAATAAGATCATCCTTTGGTAATTCAATTCTTCCTAAATTTTCCAAAGTCGATTGCAATACCTCATCGTTCTTGCATGATTTCACCATTCCTCCCAACACTTTCACAACCAATGGTATGCCACCAAATTTTTTAACAAGCTGTCCTCGAATGATTTAAGAATTATTGGTAAATCACTTTCAAATGCACATTTTTCAAATAAAGACCAACATTGATCATCCGGTAATCGGCTCAAATGATGTTTGTAATTTGTCTCCATAATTTCTGCAACTTTATCACTCCGAGTAGTCACAATTATAACACTTCCAACAATTTGATTGATTTTTAGCAAACAAGCTCTCAACTCATTCCATAGAACGGGTTCCTCGTTCCAAACATCATCAAGTACAAGAAAATACTTTTTGTCACTCAATAGATTTTTTTAGCTCCCGAAGAATAACTTCTCTTTCATCTGAGCCACCAACATTAGCATTCAAGGTTCCCATGATTGCTCTTAAAATTTTATTGATTTTAAAAGGATGAGACACACATACCCATATAAATGTATCAAAATTCTTCCTTTATCATATCAGGATGGAAAACCTCCTTCACCAAAGTTGTTTTTCCTAATCCACCCTCACCAACCATGGGTAAAACAACTAGAGTTTCCTGACTCCTAAGAGCAACTAGCTTATCCACTCTATTTGATACTTCTGTTTCCCTAGCTTATCCACTCTACTCTATTTGATACTTCTGTTTCCCTCCCAATAACTCCAATTTCATCCGGAAATGAGTTTGTCTCTCGAGTTCGGTTAAGATCAATTTCAGCTTCATTGGATGTTATAGTAACACATCCGAGAGGACTTTTTGTAGAAACTAGCTCATCCAACTTTTTAGTAACCGTTGTGATTTGATTTGCCATTTTGAGATGAAAAGCAAGGGGATTTTTGGAGAATGAAAAGAAATTACTTACCTTCAGATCTTTCCCGATTTCTACTTTACGTCGAACGTCTTCATAAGCGAGCTCATCAAGTACAATATCAGCTTCGAAGACGATATCTTCAAGGTTCTTCACCCATAGCTTCAAGGATTCGAGGTCTGTCTTCATTCTATCAATGTCCCTTAGGATGGCTTGCGCCATGAGTAAAGAGTCCTTAAGCTTTGAGAGTTCATCCATGAACCCCCATGACAGGCAGATCTGCTCAGCTGCCAACTTCACCGTCTTCTTCAGCACTTCTTGTACAGCAAAGGTCCACAGGAATTCCGCCATGTTTCTGATCTTGGATTTTCAAAGTTTGCAATTTCAGAGGATTTGTTTGTAACTAGAATGAAGCTTACAGAAACCCCATCAAACCCTTTTATTATGTTGGGTGTGAGGAACTGTGTTCTTGGTAGATTTTTTATTTTCTTAGTTTTTTAAAAAATATTTTCAAGCAATATATAAGTTTCAACCCACTAAAAAAGAATAGACTTAAAAGAATGAGGAAATCATACATATTAAAAAATAATTTAAAAAATACAATTGTGATGTTGCAGACGTCAAAGCACAGTCAGTAATGTGGGCTGATACTAAAAAAAACCATAAAATTCTATGCAATTTAAAATCAAACCAACACAATTCAAAATTCATAACAAGACAACTATTCAATATTTATTATAAAATGAAAATGAGAGCATGAGATATAAATCTAAATGAACTAAAAACTCCAATATACAAGATTGGAGATGACCCTCTTCTGCGACCGGTAGCTCCCAAATGCTCCCCACTTTGACCAATAATCAGCGATCATTTGTAAGAAAGAAAAAAAAAAAAAAAGAATCTAAGTGTATAAACATATTAAAAAATGATGACATTTTTATCCTAACAACTGGGTTACACCCTCTTTTATCTTAACCATTTGGAATTGCCCAAATGTGCATTCCAGCAAAATACTTTAAAATATTAATTTAAAATGTTGATTTGTTCCCACCGAGAAAATGAATGGCCTAACATGCCACTTTTATGAGAATTTTTTTTTAAATTAATACTTTAATCGTATTAGTGGTTCGCAATGCAAATGAACTTTTCAATAATTTTCAAGGATTACAAACCGACTAATTATGAAAATACTAAAATTTAACTTTTAGGTTGTGAAAACTTGAACTCGAGACACATTTGATCATATTTGGTAAGAAAACTAAAGTACATGTCAAACCATTGAATTATTTTTACTGTTCAGACTTAGTAATCATGACCGTGGCTCCCTTTAAAAATAGAATTCTTTAGTAACCATGACCGTGGCTCCCTTTAAAAATAGAATTCTCTTTTACATATGATTGAGGATGACTTCTTGTTGGGTGGGTGACAGCTCACCATATATTGTGTTCCCAAACCTTCATCATCTTTTCCCTTCAAAGTCTAGTGGTATTAATGATGGAATCAAAAGTGAAAAGTTTCCATTAATGGAGAAAAAAATAATAAAAATAATAGAATATTTGTTCAAAATATTGATTTACTCGAATGGAGGGAAAACGAGTTTTTAATTTGCAACTACATATTTAAAGAAGTGATGACACATGTAAGAATTTTTGGAGATAACAATCGCATTGAGCCTTCAAAGTGCAATAACAAGGATGAGATCCTACAAATTAAACTTAAGCTCAACTCACTGCAAATCTAATCAGTCATGGAAAAGGAAAATGTCAAAGACTTATGAATTTATCATCGATGCCGTTAGGATCTCCAAATAATAGCAACAAACAAACCTAAATGGAAGAATAAACCAACCACTAGAGAGCATAAAAACATTAGTACTTTCCCATAAGAAATGTTTTTTTTTTTTAAAAATCAATTTACAATTTATTCAATATTCAAAATAATAAACTATTATGGACAAATGCTTTCTATTTTTAAATTTCACATTCTTATGAAAAAAATTAAATGTTATTATTATGGTTTGTTCTCTGTGTTTTTCTTCGTCTTTCTTATGTCTAGAGCCTTAGTAATTAATACAATTGATAAAGTACAATGGAATATAACTATTACAATCTTACTTGGGGTAATCAAAACATTAAAACAAAAAATACAAACAAAAGATACAAACATAAAATAGTTATTTTAACATACACGGATATTAGGTACATGAGAAACTTTTTCCCGTTCAACACCACTTTTATCAATTTTAAGCTGGAAACATTCATACACCATCAAACGACTCAATGTAGTTAGATTTGACATTGCTTCTTTTGAGGGTAAATATTTCAAATTGGTGCAGCAACATAATTCCAATGTCTCTAAAAATGTAACATTTCCCAACCATTCCGGTAAAGATTCAACTCCATTAAAATTCTCAATATTCAACCATCTTAAAGCAGTGAGAAGCTCCAGTTGTCGAGGAAGTTGTGTTAAACTATTAGTTCCTGTCTCAGCAACTCAAGAACTTCAGCGAATCGAAGGGTATTAATTGAAAGTTTTCAATTCTTAATGAAGACAAGCTTTGGATATTTTGCAAATTTGGAGGGGAGATATCATCACCAATGTCGCCTATACACAAATCTTCGAGTGAGCTACATAATTCTAACCAATTTGATAGCTTTATCAAACTTGTACCGCTATGAATGCTTAGATTTTGAAGCTTTGGAAGACTTCGAAAGCTTGAAAATAACCTTGCAGTAACATGGTTAGCTTTCAACCTTTGACTATGAGTTGAAAAAATGTTTGGAATATTCGTTAGTTTAAGACAATAACGAATCACTAAATTTTCGAGCCCAGAAAAAGTAGTGCAACTCGAGACAATAGCAACTTCTTCCCATATGTCTAAACTTTCCATGTGCAAAATTTCAAATATTTTCAATTAAAGGAATAAAGTTCTATAAATTTGTCTCCAATACTTTTTACACCACTTAACCAACAAATTGCAAGAACCTCAAGTTTGGACACATGTCCGAGCATTGGTAAAATTTCACATCTTTTGTCTCTGTATAGACATAGCTTAACCAAGTTTTCAACAAAAATACAGTTGGGGATAAGTAAACCTGAAAAGTTATGAATCATCAACGCTGGAAGGTTTTTGTGTGATTGAAGCCCTTCCAACACAGTCAAATCAGTATTATCGCATTCTTCTCTTTGAATACTTCATTCAATATATAGTTCAGAAATATTTTTTGTCTCTACTAAATTTACAGCCACAGCCTCATGTGTACTTTTGACTTGCTCGAGATATAAAAGGTTTAACTTACTTTTAAGGTCTTTTAAATGTCCAAGCTCCTCAATCTTACATCCGTCATCACACCCAACTACAAAATTAGAAAGCGTTTGAAGTTGAGTCATTCGACTTAAATTCGACTTAAATGTTTAGACATTTGCTTAATTTGATGTGAAGGAAAAAGATAAAATTATGAGCAACTTTCTCTATTTTGTAGGAAGCATTATTTTCCTTCCAACCTTCAAAGTCTCAAAGTCTCCATCTTATAAAGCAAAACAACAGATTTTAGAAGCTCACTTATTCCAAATATTGAAATGTCAAGATATCTTAGATGCTTCAATTTATTACCGATTGAATCTGACAATTTAGTTATGAACCCATAACGAATAATTATTACGTGCAAGTAGATGAAGTTGGTGATCGTCTTGATTATCAAAAGGTACATTTTCACAACAATAAACTATTCTTCTACTTTGATAGATCGAAAGAACTTCACCACCTTAGATTTTCCATCCGTTACGAGGTGCTTTCTCAAATTTTGATCATTTGAAATAGCACATGCAACGTCCTATATTAGATCATGCATCTTACGATATATAACTTTTCCTCTCTTATCCTTGACAACATCTTGAAACAAGGAATGAGACAACAAAATATCAAAATACCTCGCTTCAATATCCTCCGCCGTTACATTGCTTCCATTGGGTAGTCGAATAAACCCTTGTGCTATCCATATTTTAACAAATCAGGTGGAAAATTTGAACAATAGGTAAAACATTGTTTCAATGGTGAAGATGGTAGACGGTCTACGCTTCATTTGATTGCGGATAAAATAAGATATTCCTTTGGTAATTCAATTCTCACTAGAAGAATAGTTTATAAAAATGCACAATTTCAAATGTACCTTTTGATAATCAAGACATGAATCAATAATGATCTTCTAGTAACTGCCTCAAATGATATTGGTAAACTTAAACGTCTAGACTGTCAAGATTGACCACGTTTAATAGAGGATCAAGCCATTTCTCGAGATTCTCGCTTACTTGGGACTGTCTTCTCTGTTGTTTTGCTTCCTCTTACTTCGCTTTCTATTTTTATATTTCACTTTCTTATGGACTATAAATGTTTATTTGAACAATTAATATCTGAAAAATTAAAATTTTACGTGCCTTCAAATTTAAATAATATATTTATAAGTTAATAAAAAAATGACTAATAAAATTATTAAATAAATTTATTCCAGGGGTTTTTCTTTCCTTGTAAACAAATAAAATTTAAATTATATCAATTTAAATTTTGTAATACTCTAAAAACTTAATAAATAAACTAACTAATAAATTACTAAGAATGTTAACATAGCTCGAGTTGCTATATCCTCTATTCATAGATAGCAAGTTTAAACTCAAATATCGAAAGGTTAAACTCAACTCTAAGAAACACACATTTTTATAAAGATTATAAAGATAAATTAAGAAAGACTACAAGACACCGTTTAAGATATTACTTCCCTTTGATTTTTCTTGGATACAATAGCTAAGGTACATAGGAATATAATTATAATTTTACTTACTCTAATGAACACATTAAAAAAAAGTACAAACAAAAGAAACAAACATAAGCGAGTTGTTTTAGTATACAATGACAATGGATATATAGAAAACTTTTTTCCGTTCAACACCACTTTTAAGCTGGAAATATTTAATCACTTTCAAATAATTCAATCGAGTTAGATTTGACATGGCTTTTTTCGAGCGCAACCTTTTCAAATTTATGCACCAATGTAATACCAATGTTTCCAAAGATGTAATGTTTCCCAACTATTCTGGCAAAGATTCAATGTCATTAAACCTCTCAATATACAACGATCTTAAAGCAATGAGGAGCTCAAAATGTCGAGGAAGTTGTGTTAAGCTATTAGCTCCTCTATCATGCAACTTAAGATTTTCAAGTGAATTGAAGGGTATGAATCGACTCCAATCATAACGCTTTATTGGCCCTTTAACAGTCAACTTTTTCAAATTATGAATACCACCAAGCCCTTCTTGAAAGTTATTGAAGTTATCGAGTCTTAATGAAGACAAGTTTGAGATATTTTGCAAAGCTGGAGAGGAAATATAATTTCGAGAGTAGATCCACAAATCTTCGAGTGAGCTATAAAACTCTAACCAGTTTGGTAGCATTACCAAACTTATACAACATTCAATGTGTAGAAATTGAAACTTTGGAGGACTTTGAAAGCTTGAAAATAACCTTGCATTAACCGTGTTAGTTTTCAACCTCTGGCTATGAGTTGCAAAAATGTTTGGAATACTTATTAGTCTCAAACAAGAATCAATGATTAAGCTTTCGAGATGAGGAAAAGTTGTACAATTCGTCACAGTGGCAACTTCTTTCCATTGCTCGAAACGGATCATGTTTGAAATATGAAATGTTTTCCGTTTAGGAAATAAAGTTCTACCATCATGATAATTCCCATAAAATTCCTCTCTAATAATTTTTAGAGCTCTTAACCCATCAATTTTAAGAACCTCAAGTTTGGAAAAATGTCCCAACATCGATAAAGTTTCATATTTGTAGCAATTAGAAAGACGTAGTTCAACAAAGTTTTCAACAAAAATACCATTGGGTAGAAGTTCACCTACAAAATAATGAATCATCAGTGCTCGAAGGTTTTTGTGTGGTTGAAGCATTTCCAGCACATTCAAAACATTGTCATCAACGTCTTCTCTATCCATACCCCATCTAAGATATGGATCAGAAATATTTTCTTTCTCAACTACATTTGCAACTAAGGCCTTTATCTCGTTACGTAACACCGTAAGCCTTACAGTTTTAAAATGCATTTGGTAGGAAGAGATTCCCACACTCTTCTACGGAATGTTTCATGCTCCTCTCCAAACGACGTGAGACCTCACATTCCATCCCCCTTGGGAGCCCAGCGTCCTTGTTGGCATGACTATGCAAGATACTAGTCAGAATAGAACTGGACACTTTTATAATGTGAGTGAGAGTATCATATATAACGATCTTGGAGATCTTCCTTTTCCTCTCTTTTGGAAGTATCTTTTCCCTCTTCTCTGTATGTTTTCTTATATTTAAATTAATGACCGTTACAATATGAATACAAATATTTTTTTAATAATTAATAATTAGTAATAATATGAGAAATTTTATATAAAAATAAAGAAAAAAATTAGTAAATTAAGAATATAAAACATCAGGAAAGAAAAAGAAGAGAGAGAGAAAGGAAGGTAAAAGTGAAGTTATTAACTTCACCCACCAAACTTTTCATTCTAAAACACTTTTTTTTTTTTTGGTACATTTTAAAATCCTTCCTTGAAATTGAACCCTATCAATTTAAATTTAAATTCTGAATTTTTATTAAGTGTATTAATTTACTATCGTAGCATACAACAGATTTATAATTCTACCAATTGAACATAATTTATCGTGCATCAATCTTCCTTGAATTTCTCAACTTATAATAGCTTTAAAGAAGAATTTGATTAGGTAAAAAATAGCAGTATTTATAGGTATTTAGTTTATATCTTCGATTAGGTAAAAACTAGTAGTACTTTTAGGTATTTAATTTAAATATTTTCTAATGGGTTAAAGATTAAATTTAATTAGGTAAAAAAAATAAGACTATTTTTAGATATTTAGTTTAAATATTTTCCCATTTATTTAACAGATTTGTGATTAGTTTTTATTTATGCTCATTTGTAAACCTATAAAGGCAAGTTAAATATTAATAATATTATCACGTCAAGCTTCAATAGTTTATATTTTTGGCTTAGTTATGCCAAAACCTAACAATACAATTGGTATCAGAGTTATAATTTTTTGAGTGATCAAATAGAGAGTATGAGTGAAGACAAAACTTTAGCGAAGATCCCTCACTTCGATGGTCACTGTGATCATTGGAGTGAGCTGATGAAAAATTTACTCAGAGCAAAGGGTCTATGGAGTATGGTGGAGATTGGTTTCTTAGAACCAGAGGAAGGAACAATGCTAACTGAGGCACAAAGGGCACCTTGATGATGCTAGACTCAAAGATCACCAAGTAAAGCATTACCTCTTCCAGGCAATTGATCGTGTTGTCTTTTTAACAAATCTTGAATTGTCACATAGCCAAGATTGTTTGAGATTAAATGAAGGAGAGAATTTGAGATTGGAGAGATCAAAAGGATGAAAATTTCACAGATTATTTTGCAAGAGTGATGATAATCGCCAACAACAACAAGATGAGAAGCAATGGAGAAGATATGCCAGACAAAGAAAATTGTAGAAAAAATTATTCGTACCCGGACGGAAAAATTTACTATTGTAGTATCTATTGAGGAATCTAAAGATACTGATAACATGTCAATTGATGAATTACAAAGTTCATTAGTGGTGCATGAACAGAAATTTCGAAGATCCAACATTAGTGGAGAGGAGAAAGTTCTAAAAGTCGAAGGACGAACGAAAATAAGTAATAGAGGAAGAGGAACTTACAGGGGCAAAGGACGCAGAAGAGGAAGATCAACTTTCAACGAAACAACTGTTGAATGTTATAGGTTTCATAACTTAGGTCATTTTCAATATGAATGTCCAAAGATGAATAAGAAATTGAATTATGCAGAGCTGGAAAAAGAGGATGAAATGTTGTTAATGACTCGTATGGAAAGATATGAAGCAAAAAGGAGGGATGCTTGGTTCTTAGATTCTGATTGCTCAAACCATATGTGTGCCAGGGAAGGTAGAGTGCTGTTTAAAGATGGGATATGTAACATTTATTATCCACAAAAAGAAAAAATGGTATATGTAACATTTATTATCCACAAAAAGGAAAAATGGTATATGTAACATTTACTATCCACAAAAAGGAAAAATGGTATATGTAACATTTATTATCCACAAAAAGAAAAAATGGTATATGTAACAGAGTCAATTATGAGCGCAAATCGACCGTTTATTTTGTATACTAAACCATCTACCCCAACAAATGAAGAAAGATGCCTCCAAGTTTCAAATACGGATCAGTCAACACTTTGGCACCACCGTTATGGTCATCTCGGCTACAAAGGCTTGTGCACCTTGAAACACAAAAACATGGTGAGCACCTTGAAACACAAAAACATGGTGAAAAGTCTGCCGCAAATTGTAGCTCCAAACACCACCTGTGAGGCATGTATGAAAGACAAGTAACATTGGACTCCATTTCCAAAAATGGGTAAATGGAGAGAAACCGAAAAATTGGAATGGGGAAAAATATTGAAATTGATAAGAACACAATCGAAGGAAGAGAAATCACAGAGGAAACGACTGAACCGGTTGCTGAAACAATTGAACCAGTTGCTGAAAACGAGGAAGGGGAAATCATAGAAGAAACAACTGAACCGATTGTTGAAACAATTGAACCAGTCGCTGAAAACAATTTTTCAGTAACTGTTGCACCAGATTTGACAACAAGGGAGGGGAGAAATCGACATCCACCTGTATGGTTAGCAGACTATAATTTTTGTGAAGGCTTATCTGAAGAGGATGAAGAAAATATGGCATTCTTGATGATTTCAGATCCTGTGAATTTTGAGGAAGCTGTCAAAAGCCCAAAATGGAATTGGCTATGGATGAAGAAATCAAATCCATTGAAAAAAATCTTGTTGATAAATACAAAGCAAGATTGGTGGTAAAAGGCTACATACAAGAGCATGAAATTGATTATACGGAAGTGTACACACCTGTGGGCATAATGGATACTGTGAGAATAATCATTGCTTTTGTCGCCCAAAAAGGTTGGAAACTCTATCAGTTAGATGTCAAATAAACTTTTTGATATGGCGAGTTAAAAGAAGATATTCTTGTTGAACAACCAAAAGGTTATGAGAAAAAGGGAAGTGAAGAGATGGTGTACAAACTCCAAAAGGCTTTCTACGGAATAAAACAAGCACCTAGAACTTGGTTTAGTCGAATAGAATCTTACATCATCAAGGAAGGATTCAAAAGGAGTTTCAGTGAGTCGACACTCTTCATCAAGAGGAATGGAGGTAAAAGTCTTATTGTAAGCATTTATGTTGATGATCTTTTATTTATCGGATACGATGAGGAATTATTGGAGGAGTTTAAACGGTCCATGAAGAAAGAGTTTGATATGACTTACTTAGGTCAGATGAGATTTTTTCTTGGAATAGAGGTAATACAAAGATTAGATGATATTTTTATATGTCAAAGAAAGTATGTTGCTGAAGTTTTAAATCGCTTTGGCATAGAGAATTACATCTCTATTTGTAATCCCATTGTTCCCAAACAAAAAATTTGGCAAAGATGAAAATGGTGCAAAAGTAGATGTTGATGGTGTTAATATAACACATGCGGAAGCAATTTGGATCTTAGGCAGTTTTAGAACATCAATTATAGTAAATAACTAGCATGTTCATAAGTATTAAAACTTAATGAGTTTGAATACTAACCTTTTGTAGTTCAAATTTCTTTTTCCTCACGAACCGGTTTTGAACCACCACTAGTGTCTTCTCCACTATCCTCCGGTCTTAGAACGGGATTGTGGAATCCAGTGAGTGACTAAACATGGGAGAGATTTTATATATATGAAGAGAGTGTTTGTGAGAGGTTTTTCTCAAGGTTTTTTTTTCCAAGAAGACCTTTCATGTTGCATGATCACTCTCTTTATAGAGTTATGTTTGCATGTTCATACAAATTTGAGATCACCAAATTTTGACACTCAAAATTTCACTCGAATGTTTGGGATTATGTGGCAAGCATGCATGTTTGAGTTAACCAAATTTTGACACTCAAAATTCCACTCAAACTTGTGGGGTTTATTTGGCAAACATGCAAGTTTGGTTAAACCAAATGTTGACACCTCAAAATTCCACTAACATGGATTTTTCCATTAAATGAAGTCAACATTTTGACTTTCTTCATTTTAATTCAACAATTAATTTCAAATGAAAGTAATATTAAATGATTAATTAAACTACTTAATTAATATTTAATATTAATTCAAATGTCAATCCCAATCAATTTTGACACATAATTGATTAAGATATTTAAATCTTATTTAAATATCTTAGATTCTCTCTTGTTTAATTCGTAAATAAAACAAAAATGCGGTTAAATATATCGTATATATGTACATATTCCCTAATTTGAATTCGAACACTTTGAACTCACTCGTCACACTGTTCTATCGTTTAGTCCAATATGAGCTAGTAGAGGGACCTAATGGACTTATAGATCATGGGCTCCAACGATCCAAGATTAACCGGTTAAACTCATTAACCTTGTTAACCAACATTCGTTAACTACTAGGACACTCTACTATAGCCTAGTAGTTGCACTCCCCTCACTATAGATATATTTCTGTCCATTTGATATAACCATGATTAGTAAGTCGATCCTTCACAGGTTATTCATAACAAGAGCTGAGTCAATTTACCGTTTTACTCTTGAAGTTACTTCTTGTTCCTCATGTCCCACTAATCCTCTTATGAACAATTGGTTTGTGGTCCAGCTAGTAAACCGAATCCCTCTCAGGCCAATGAGAGGGTGGAGCCCCTTGTTCAAGACCTGGAGTAAGTGCTTAAGGGAACTACCTCTCTTCTATCCCTAAAAGTGGGTAGGAGTGAATTCCATCTTGCACCTCACGTCCCCAGCTATTCACCCAGTCTTACCCCTAAAATGGGAGGCCTATTGAGTCGGCAAACTCGAGCCACTCTCACCCATGCAAATCTAAGGATAATTCCGAATAAACAGGAGTTCATGGTTAGCTCAGGATTAAAATCGAGTTACCTAGGTTATCGAATGAAAAGAAAATCAGTCTCAACAGTAAACGACATTATAAAGTGAGAGTGGTTTTCTTCATGGTTCGATCTTATGCAATACTCATTGCATAGGACGCCCCCACTCACATGTCTCCACATGTACAATTTAGTGATCACTTTGTTTATATCATATACAAAAGTGGGCCGCATCCATAGCGTCCCCAAAATAAGGTACTCGGCCTTATCCTTATACTATAGATCATTTTGACTATATACTTGAACTTGATCCACTCTTATATCTCTACATATAGTTCAAGTAATCATACTATAGCTAGAGTGTTTTTAGTTTATTGGATTTAGATTAATGATCGTTATGTTCACTTTATTCAATAACAATCTTTACTGAATAAACAACAATAATAACTTTATTAAAAATAGAATATGTTTTTTGTTTACAAACTATGAGTTTTAGGACATAAAACCCAACAGATGTAACTTTATATAAACAAATAGTGGGAAGTCTGATGTATCTCAAAGCTACTCGTCCTGATCTCATGTTTGTTGTAAGTTTGATTAGTCGTTTTATGACATATCCAACACAACAACATTTTGCAGCAAATAAAAGGGTTTTAAGGTACTTAAAAGGTAGGATAGATTATGGTGTATTTTATAGAAAGGGAGGAGTTAGTGATTTAATTGAATTTGCTGACTGGAGACATGGAAGATAGCAAGAGTACTTCAGGCTATGTGTTTATGATGAGTGGAGAAGTAGTAGCTTGGTCTTCTCGTAAGCAGCCTATAGTCATCTTATCAACCATAAAAGTTGAGTTTGTTGCTGCTAATGCCTGTGCATGTCAAGCTGTTTGGATGAGGAGGATAGTTAAAGAGATTGATCTCTCTTAAATAGAAGGAACAAAGCTAATGTGTGATAATACTTTAACTATTAAGCTATCCAAAAATCCAGTTTTACATGGACGTTCTAAACACATAAGAGTAAGATTTCACTTTTTTAGAGATTTGAAGTAACCGTCAATTTATTATTTTGTGGTACTCACTTTGCTGATTTGCTATCTCAAAGCCTCTAAAATGGATTGTTAGAAAAATTTATGTTAATTTCTATTGGTAGAAGTTAAGTTTAGTATTCAATAATATTATCTTAAACTCTGAGTTGGATGGGCTTATGTCAAAATTTAACCCGCTGTTCATTTAAAAAATTGTTTAAAAAATTATAATTAATTAATTTATTAAAACCTATAACTTTAATTAGTATGAATGCGCAAACTAACATTTTTATTTATAAAATTAAATCTAAATTGATTTTAAAGTTCAGAATATATATCGATATAAAATTTTGGGTTAGTGTGTTAGAAAGAATCGAGGAAACCAAGAAATGCATGGCTGACCACATTGAATAATACTCATAAATACAGACCACAACTATCAACTACCTTCCATCTCTATTAATTTCCTCCCAATTCTTCCTCATCCAAACCAGTTTCACACATGGACATATCATTACGCTTTCACTCAGCAATCACCGCAGCGGTGATTCTTATGACGGCCATCTGCCTGACTTCCCCTTGCCCGGCCGACGCCAAGCTGTGCGGGGACTGCATCAGGGACAGGATGGCGCTGCACTGCCCAGCCTGCGCACCGCCTCTTCGCTGCATGGCGCAGTGCCTGTGGGGCGGCGGTTCAAGGTCGAGGTGCGTTAAGCAGTGCGATGGCGGCGGTGCATGGGCGAGGCTGTGGAGTTGCAAGCGTTGCATGCGGAGTTGCAAGTGCAGTTGTACCTCTTCTTCTTCTTAGAGCGTATAATTATTATACGTAATATTATTATACGTAATATTATTATACGTAATATTATTATACGTCTGAAGCTTTAATAATCTTAATCTAAATCAAATTGGTTCCATAATTAAACAAAAAATAAAAATAAAAATAAAAATAAAAAAAAGGAGGGCTTAGCTGATCCAATAAGTAAAGGCAAGGCCAGCCAGCAAAAGGGAGAGAGTGACATAAGAAATGGCGAAGGGCGTTGAAGACGTGGAAGGGGATGGTGGAACTGCTGCTGACTCACCATCCCCCTCCGACATGTCGTCCCTCGATCCAACTCCTGTCGTCTCCGCCTTCTGTTGTTGGGCCTCCACATGCACCTGCAGTTTGAGGCCCTTCTTGCACCTCTCCGCTCTGCTACTCGCGAAGTAGCGGATTCCCTCTCCGTTTAAGGCCACGATATCTATGCCGTCCCTATACTCCCTGATGAACCTGCTTACATCGCACGCTTTGTATTCCTCCTTCCTTTCCAGCTCCACCACGTTACCGTGTGCCACAGAGTACGCGAACCCTACCCCCAACATTACTTTTTTATTTTTTATTTTTTTATTTTTACTCCTAATAAACCCGGTTCCGATTTCGATCCGATGAACCGGGAATCCCAAAACAAAATTTCTCACCCAAAAAACGCATTAAAAAACAAAAAGAAAAAATGGAAAAACGAATGGATCTTACAGATCTTATCTCCGACTCTGAATATTCGACCGGCCGACCAAGACGCAATGTTCGAATCCACGTCCCATCCCCTGTCGCCGCCGACGACATGGTGCGTCTCCGCTCCGGCAAAGGGCGCCGCGGTGGTGATAATAAACGCCGCCGTCAAAACCGCTGCTAGGTTATTGGTCGGAGTGGGCATGGCGCTGTCTTGATCTCGTGTGAGTTAAAATAAAATGAAAGGAAAGAAAATGAATATAGTTTTTTTAAGGCTCTATTAACCAACTAAACTATTATGTTTTTATTTTAAAATTTTATTATTATTGTTTATTTTTAGTTACTTTGTATTTATTTATTTTTATTATTGTTCAGCCACGTGTGACTTTTATGGCCACCACTTGTAAACTCTCTCTGCTAGGCTTCCCTTTCTAATTTTCGCTTCATTTTCGTATCGGTTAGGTTTTTAGTTTTTCATAATTTCTTGATTTCTATTCGGTTTCAAATTAATACTTTTTTTTTAAATTAATTTTTTCACATGGAAAATCAAAGGATCTTTTTATTAATTTTAATATATTTACTTTCAATAGAGTGACTACATACTGTGAGGTTTTTGGTCCCTACATAGTCACATGCACAATAATATATGTAATATTGTTAATAAACCTATTAAGTAACCACCCTATTTTTTTTTACTATAATTTAGTGGAATCTATCATTTTAAAAACATCATGGCACACCCTTAGATAACTTTTTAGTCGGAGTTAAGTTGAATGTGTAGTACTTCTATATACACGGTCCATGCACGCGAACATAGACTCACCAAACAGGCTCGTATACCCCTTGAGCCAGGCTCGTCGAGCTAGTATTCGTTAATAGGTTGTTGAAAATCATGGAGAGAAGGACCCGAATAACATCATGGCAAACATAAATCTCGTTAACAGAGCCAAGGCCCAAGCTGGACAGAGTCGATTGCTTGGTGTTGAGTCGTACGCAAGCCGCGTACTAGAGACGGTTCATCACACACATTACACGTGGCAGGAAGAGATAGCCAAACGCTCAGGATAACGTGTGGGTATGGGTCAAGATGCGGGTCTCGAGTCGCCCAACTGCAGTCTCAAGGTGGATCACATCATACAATACTACATTTAAATCGTGGGGAAGTTTGGGCTGCGTTTCAAACTTGGACCGCATAAGAACTTGACCAACACCTAACCTGCGTTTGGATCCAACCCGAAATTTGACTTGCGAATTTCTTCTCTTTAACCTGACTTCGTGCGTGTTTCCTTTTCCTCCCCAGATCTCTCTCTCTCTTCCTCCATGCCTTTTGTGTTTTTCTACGACGACCAAGGTGCACCTCCTCGCTCGCTATTTGCTCTAGTGATCTTGTCTTATGGTCGTGATGTTACGGAATCTACACACAGTAGTAATTATGAGAAAAGAAAATAACCTAACATCCTTCCTTTAAAATTAGAATCGGATAACTTAAAAAAGAACAAGTGCTTACCGATCATCTGCACATTGTTATCGACCATCTCCACCACTATGAATTCCCTCTTCATTAGTAACAACAATGACACTGACAAGTTGCAGGGGAAGGAAGGGAAAACAAAACATATTTGCTGGGGTTCTTTCTCCTCGGGTGTGTATGTGTTGCACAGCGAGAATAGTTGATAAGTTGGGTGGTTGAGGGAGTGAATGGTAAGGGGCTTAACAAGAGGGACTGTGGGTGGTTTCCCTAACGAGAACTCTGCTGCCTCACTAGAAATCTCGCGGTTTCCAACGAGATTTTTGAATTTTTTTTCACAACCAACTATTGTTACATCACACGCCTCTAAGAAATACTTTTGTCCACGAAAGTATCTAATTCCTAGAATAGCTCAAGGTATTTCTCCCTCCTCTCATCCTCACGTTCCCACTTGACTTCTTTGATAGTTTTGCCATGGTACTTTGCTAAAAGTGATGTCTCTAGTGCATAAAGCTTTCACTTCACGGGCCATGATCCTTACTGACCTCTCTTCATAACTCAAATCCTCATCTACATTAACGGTTCATAAACATTAACGGTTCATAACAATGATGTGGGTGGGTCATTCATATACTTGCGAAGCATTAACACATGTAATACGTTGTGCACCGCTGAAAAAGATGGTGTTAGGGCTAGTCTATATGCCACTAGTCTTATCCGATCTAAGATTTCGAAAGGTTCGATGAAGCATGGGCTCAACTTGCCTTTATGTTTGAACCTTAGAACGCCCTTTATCGAAGTCACTTTCAAGAATACCATGTCCCCTAAGCTCCCATGCCTTATTTCAACGTAACTCTTTTGTCTACTTTGAGCCATGCACATTCTTTATGTAATCTTTTTCATGGTCTCATTAGTAGCTTGAACTATCTTTGGTCCTAACAACTCTCATTCACCTATCTCGTCTCAATATATTGGGGACCTACACCACTTCCCATGTAATGCTTCAAATGGTATCATTCCAATAGTTTCTTGGAAGTTGTTGGTAGTGAACTCCCTAAGATGCAGTTTAGAGTGCCAACTACCTGCAAAATCCACCACATAAGCACACAACATGTCTGTGGGTGGAAGATAGGATTGAAGTCAAGGTGAATACTCAACGCTTTTTGAAGACCACGCTAAAATACTAACCTAAAACGTGGGTCTCGATTTGATACTATGGACACTGGAATTTCGTGCAACCTTAAAAATCTCCTTCGTGTACAACTGTGCCAAGTTATCCATCATATAGGTTGTCTTGCAAGGTAGGGAGAATGCTGACTTGGCCAGTCTATGAACAATTACCCAAATCACTATATACTCTTTCAATATCCTGAGTAGACCTACGATGAAGTCCATATATATATTCTCCCACTTCCATTCAGGCACACTCAAAGTGCTGGAATAATCCTGTCATTCTTTGTTTAGGTGCCTTCTCCTGTTGGCACACTACACACTCACTTACAAACTCTACTATATCCTTCTTCATACTACATACCATAAATGTTGTTTCAGATCTTGATACATCTTAGTATTGCTTAGATGCATAGAAAGTTGAGAGTTATGGGCCTATGTTAATATCTCATTCTTCAACTCTTCCATCGATGACATGCATAATTGCTCTTAGCATAATAGACCGCCATCTGTCCATTTGGAGAAACCGTCTACTGGACTTTCTCTTAATTGGCCTAAAATTTTGGCTAAAAGGGGTCTCCATGTTGAGAATCAATAATTCGTTGTCGAAGTGTAGGTTAAACTGTAAGTCGAGTCATCTGTGCTAAAACTCCTTTAGTCACCATTGTTATCTATACTTATCGTGACTCTCTAGTAATCATGGACGATGAGTGGGCCATCATCCGACTTAGGGCATTAATGACTACGTTTGCTTTCTCGGGGGGGGGGGG